TCTCCAAAGTTTAAAAGAAGCTTCTTATGCTGAATTCCAGTCGTGCTTGACAGGAAAACATTTCTCAGAGCAAACCTGCAGAGTTGGACCCGTCCTGTTCTATTCTGGTAGAGTGACCCAGATACCTGGGCTCCCCAGGGAGTCCATCCATTTCTCTGACACAGTCTGAAACCACCTGAACTAAAGTTTTCTGTTCATACAAGAACTTATCTGTAGAGGCGGAGCGGGAACTTACAGGGGTTCGATCCGTCGGCTACCAGCAGCATGCGCAGAGAGCTTAGGTTGATGTCCTTCTGGTCTTTGTGGGCCACCAGAGCCCAGTGCATGTCTCTGGACTTCACACAGGCTACTTTAGCTGCAGGAAACACGATGAAACCCACAGTGAGTGTCAGCATTTCATCTGTTTGACTGGCAGCTGGGTAGAAATGAGTGACAGGAGTGGGTGGGGTGGGTGGGGTTGGAGCCTGACCTTTGTACTGGCAGACCTTCTGGATCCACGACAGAGGGTTGACCTTCATCAGTGAGTATGGCACGCTGATCACGTGCATCATGTTCATCACACTCTGCATGAAAACACAAGATTACTCAGAAGCATCCTCTGCACCATTCACAGTAAACCAAACTGGGACCATTTTAAAATCAAGTCCTAGATTTAACATCTAACTGGTCTGGGTGTGAAGCTGCTCTGATCCCAAACCAGCAGCAGGTCTCACCGTCAGGATGCCGTGCCACAGACCCACGTCCTTCTTAAAGTCCAAAACGTTCACTATGGTCTCGGCTGCAGAACAAGAATAGAAGCAGTATAAATCAGTAATGTGGGACTGAAACAAAGTGCAGTGTGTGTGAGTGTGTTTACCTTCCGTGTAGCTGCAGGACTGGGTGAGGGCCTGGCAGTGTGTCAGCAGAGCGATCCTCGTCACAGTGACTCCCAGCACGCTGCCGTCCTTACAGGTTTTATACTGAGAGGAAGAACAACACCGATCGTTGGGAAGCTTTCAGGAGGACTCAGTCAATAAATATGACATTTTAAAATATCCAATCTCATATTGATCCTGAAATAAACACAAAATACTTCCATTGATGTTTCCTTCATAATGTTTCAGTCTGTCTGTGCTTGCCTGTATGTTAGCAAAATATCAGATAAACTACTGAATGGATTTGATTAAAACTTGCAAGAAGAGATCAATGGATGTGCATGAAGTCAATCCAACTATTTATGAACTTGTTTTGCATTCTATTAAAAATATAGATGCGTATCTCTTTATCGTACTGGACAGTCATCGGATTCAGCAGCAACAGATGAGTTTAGTTTCAATTTACAATAAACTTGTTTATTTTCTGATTTTATATTGAGATTCCTCTTTAACTTGAACAAAAACATTCACAATAGTTTCTCGATACTTTGTGAGTTTTCAACGATTGTCAACTTTAATGTTACTCACATGATTGGGATGGTACAGAAAACATGTTAATGAAAAAAAAAGATACTTTGGGCAGGTGCCGCCATTTTGTAGTTTTCTTTCAATAAGCCCGTTCTGTATCGCCAGTATAAAAAACTACACTACCCAGAAGCCAATGGCGCTTCTGGCTGCTGCTTTCTGCCAAATGCAGGGAAAGCTTTGATCTGATCAGAACCTGACTAAAAAGTTTGGTCCTTATTCATAGTGACTTCGGCGCTCAGTGGATGCAGAGAGCCGTACGGAACCAACCGGGAACAGGACCAGAACCAGAACCAGACTTCCAGCCTCATCGGTCAACCTGAGCACTGCTTGCCGGCCCATGAGGCCTCTCGAGCGGGGAGGCGTCACTTGGAGGTCCGGTGTCTTTTTCCGGAGCTTTTTTCATTGGATCCCTCTGGATTATTTGAACTCAATCTGGACCATTATGTAGATTTCAACTGGACCAAGGCGGGTGAGTACCCATATAAAATGTTGCAGTGCTGTACAGTATATATATGTATGTTGTTGAAATTATGTAGGTTTAAGAGTTTAGAACATTGCAAGAGTGTGGGAAGGGTTTCTAAAGCCTTAAATATATATAAATGCTATAACGTTTCTACTTCGCGGTTGTTCACTTATGTCTGGAACGTAACCCCCGCGATAATCGAGCGACTTCTGTACTGCGAATAATGAAGATTCATCCAGTCAGATAAACTTTAGCACGAGAAGTTAAGCAGCGATGGAGAGACAGACGCTCCTGAGTGGGTGAGGCGACCAGAGGAACGCCGGCTCAGGTTTGAGTCAAACTGACGTCCTTGCTTCTGTTGACGTGTTCACAGAGTGTCGTTTGTTTGTCTGTCAGCTCACCTCTATGTAAGCGGTGTCGTTGTTTGCATCTTTGATGTGTGGGAACCAGTCTCGAGGGGGTTTGGAGAGGTGCTTCGACTCGGTAACAAACCACAGCAACTTGGGCCATCCTGCAGGTTTGTGCAGAGAATATGTGAGAGACAGAAAGGATCGACACTCAGAGACAGAGATCAGTGGTATGAACAAGAAAACAGGTCAAATATACACAAAGCTTTGTTTTGTCAGAAAAACATGCTTTAGCTTCAGCTCCTCAAATGATTGTAAATGTGCAGATTTGCAAAGTGCCCTCCTCCATGTCAGGTCTTTACAATTCAAACATGATTAATGGTTGACTTGTAAAGACCTGACGTGCAGGAGGACCTCCCAGAACTCCCCTTTCACCTTTGAACTGCGGGATCTCTCCGGTTGCACTCTTGGGAAGACCCTTATGGCAGGCATCGCTGGTCAATGCCACGGTAACGCCACAGCTCCCCAACAGGAATCCAATCTGCTGGCTGCCTGCATCCTGGTGGATGGTACAAAAACAGGAGGACAGGACAATCAAACAGAAGACCTTCTGTTCAGAGGCTTGTTTTCATTCATGGAGATAAAAATATGAAAATGAAAGAAATCAAAAAGTGTCTGCTGCCATGACACAAAACATACATTCAAGCACTTCACTTGCTTTTCCTTCCCAACACGCAGGGGCCTCATGTATCCAGGTGAGTACGCACGAAAACGTTGCATGTGCCAGGCTCCATGCACGTTAAGATGCACCAAAATGAACGTTGTGTGAACATGTGCGTAAATTCACGCATGTTTTTGACCTGCTGTGAGAATGTGCTGACCTCCACGCAAACCTCTTCAGTTATGATTTAAATCCAAACAAGGAAGCTGAAGCACATGCAACCTCAAACAACAGAACATTTAACACGCCTCAAACATGATCAAAACCACCTCACTGCAATGAAAACTGAAAAGTTTATTTTTCTTTTATTTATAAAATTAACTTTTTATCAAAAGTTATTTTTGTCACATGTACATGTAAACAAGGGCGACACGGTGAATCAGTTGGTAGAGCTGCTGCCTTTCAGCAAGCAGGTTTCCCTGGTACAAATCCCGGCCAGGGGCCCCTCTGGGTGGAGTTTGCATGTTCTCTCCGTGCACACGATGTGACTTCATGCATGTAGAGATGAGAGTCCTGCATGGAAAACATATTTGCTTCTATTCAGACGGAGTCGTGTCGAGCGAGGATTCGGACATTCCTTCATGTGCGCCCAATTCCACGTTGATAGGGATGTACAAAGGAAGTGTGCTTGGATTCATGTATACGCACTGTTTCATACATTCAGAGATTCAGAGAGATTTATTTGCCATTTGCACCACATGTGGTACATGTGGTGGAACGAGATTATGTCCACAGGGTCACAGTTACATCCAGCCATAAAATGTAAAAGAAAAACAGTAATAACATCTAAGATATGAATTAAGAAAAACATCAACTAAATATACACTAAGCACTAGTAGCATAAAAACATTACGTCAAACATCAGCATAAACATGAACATGAGTCTGTGTGAACAGATGAGAACGCATGAACACATCAACATGAAACAGATCAGCATCAACATGAAACAGATCAGCATCAACATGAAACAGATCAGCAGCAACATGAAACAGATCAGCAGCAACATGAAACAGATCAGCAGCAACATGATGTGATTTTTCACAGTGATTATTCTGGTTAGATATTCATGAGTCGAACAGCCTCATGGTAGAAGCTGTTCCTCAGTCTAGTGGTTCTACACTTAATGCTCCTTAACCTCCTTCCTGAGGAGAGCAGGGCAAAAAGTGTGTGTGCTGGGTGAGTGGGGTCCTTCATGATGCAGGTGGTCATCTTCCTGCATCTAGAGGTGTAGATGTCTGTGATGGTGCGGAGACTGACTCCAACATCTTCTGTGCAGCCTTCACCACTCTCTGCAAAGCTTTTCTTTCTGCAGCTGTGCAGCCTCCATGCCACACGTTGATGCTGGAGCACAGGATGCTCTCCACTGCACACCTGTAGAAGGAGGTGAGGACTGAGCTTCCCAGACCAGCTCGCCTCAGCCATCTGAGGAAGTAGAGTCTCTGATGAGCTTTCTTGATCAGGCTGGTGGTGGTGGTGCTCCAGCTGAGGTTGTTGTTCAGGTGCACACCCAAGTACTTGTAGCTGGAGACCACTTCCACCGCAAATCCTCCTATGTTTGGGGGGTGGGGTTGTAGACGTGTTTGTTCCTTCTGAAGTCAACAATCATTTCCTTCATCTTCTTCACAATGATGTGAAGATTATTCTCTTTGCACCAGCTCTCCAGGTGTTCCACCTCTTGCCTGTAGCTTGACTCATCATTGTTTGTGATGCATCCCACCACCGCTGTATCATCTGCAAACTTTACAATGTGACAGCCTGGATGGGTAGCTGCACAATCATACGTGAGCAGAGTGAACAGGAGAGGGCTCAGCACACATCCCTGAGGGAAGCCAGTGCTGAGGGTCATGGTGGAGAAGGAGAAGTTGTGGATCCTCACTGACTGTGGTCTGTTTGTTAAGAAGTCTAGTACCCAGTTGCAAATGGAGGGGCTTAGTCCTAATGTGAGTAGTTTGTCCATCAGGGTTTGGGGGATCATGGTGTTGAAGGCAGACGTGAAGTCCACAAAGAGCATACGGACGTAAGAGTTTTTCTGCTCCAGGTGGATGAGAGCAGTGTGGACCACAGAGAAGATGGCGTCTTCTGCTGATCGGTTCATGGATACTGGTGTGGGTCCTCGTTGATGTTGATGGTTGTTTTGATGTGGATCATGATCAGTTTTTCGAAGCATTTAGTGACAATCTGGGTGAGAGCCACTGGCCGATAGTCATTCAGACCAGTAGAGCTCTTTGGGACTGGGATGATGGTGGCAGTCTTCAGGCAGGTGGGAACTGTCTCCAGGGTAAGTGAGGAGTTAAAGATGTCTGCCAGCACCTCGCAGAGCTGATCAGCACATTCTTTCAACACTTTCCCAGGGATGTTGTCTGGGCCAGTTGCTTTGTGTGGATTAGTTAGTCCTCCTGAAAGTACTCCTTACTCCTTACTTCAGCTGAGGTGATGCTGAGAAGCTCTTCATCCGGTGGTGAGGTGAGTCTGGTGCTATGTGGTCTCTTCGGGTCTTCAAAGCGTGCATAGAACTTGTTGAGGGCATCAGGCAGAGAAGGGTCTTTGGGGCATTGTTCGCTCCTTCCTTTATAATCTGTTATGCACTTAATGCCCCTCCACATGCTCTGTGCGTCTTGTGAAGCTAATTGACCCTCGATCCTCTGTGCATATGTGGCCTTGGCCATCTTAATACCAACTACCAGTTCTTTCCTTGTCCTTCTCAGCTACTGTTTCCAGACCTTAAGGCAGTGTTCCTGGCTTCCAGCAGGGTGCGCACCTCTGCATTCAGCCAAGGTTTTCTGTGATGGTAGCTCTTAACATATCTTATGGTGGAGATGTCGTCAGTACATTTACTAATGTACCCCAGAACTGAGGATGCATATTGGTTCAGATCTAGCGCTCCTCCATTTTCAGCAGCTTCTCTGAAAACCTGCCAGTCTGTTTGTTCAAAAACAATCTCTCAGTATGGAGCCACTGTTCTGGATCCATGATTTAACACATCTGGGTTTATTTGTGTGTACGCTATTTTCTCAATTTATGCGCACGCCATGTTTCAGTAGGAAATCCACATGTCTTTGTTTGTGAAGCCCCTGGTGTCTATCTCTGTAGTCACTGTATGAGACGCAGTGTTCACCCTGAACAGGCTGAACGTCCACCACAGGCTCACAAGACAAACAACAGTTCACTCTTTCTCTCACGCCGAAGGACAATTTACTAACTACCCCAACATTCATGTTTTTGGTCAGTAGAAGGAAACGGGAGTAGAAAACCAGCGTGTGCACAAGGAAAACATGTACATGTAAAATCAACGCAGTCAAGCCAGGAGGTGAACCTGATACTTTCTGCCTGTGAGGCGACAGCTCTATCCACTGTTCCACTGTGCCACTCAGATCTAAAGCGTTTGAAGGGAAAATCCTGCAGCACAAGTCCAGATTGGGGGAAGGGGTTCAAGTGAGGTAAACGGCAAAAGATGTTTTCTACTGCAGCAAGTAATCACTGTGTGTAACCATGGCAACACTTAGCTGCACAAAGTGCTGCAAAGACAGGCAATGATGTCTCAATGTTAGCAGACTGACTGCAAACATTAAAGCTGGAAGAACTGAGTGAACTAAAACACAGACAGCAGCTGAAAACTTATGGAGCATATATATTTATGGCTAAAAACTTATTTTCAAGCAGACTGAAGATATTTCTAGTCTCTCAGACAACGGAACAAACTGGATCAGGTGCAACCTGCCATATATCAGTATTTTCTTCTACATCGTCTGTGATAGCAGACAGGGTTCTTTCCTGCTTCATGTTCAGACAGGATTAATCCTCAAATCTACTCACGTCCAGCAAAAAGCTAAAACTGAACATCACTAAGGTGATCACACAAACAAGACTGAAATAAAACACAGCAGGGAGGAACAATGTCCTGTCAAGTGACCTATGAACTCCAGCAGGGAAACTACAAACAAGCCATCATTTAAAAATACAAGAAAGATTGTATAGAACTACAAAAATGGCAGAAGTATCATGGTGAGTGATCTCATGACATACCTTGCGACTTAGAGGAACTTCTATGGGAACAGGAACCACCTCAGCAAGCAGACAGCCGTAAAAGGCCACCATGAAGGCCACGGGGTCATTGTTGGGGAACACCAGCGCCACCTACGGGAGAGAGAGAAGTTAGCAAGCAGTTTCAGGAATGCTAATGTAATGTTATGCATATAACTCCTGTTCTCTGACAAAAGGAACTATGTACAACATATGAAATGTGGAATATCAGACCTCTATGTGTCCTAACTTAAGACACCTCTAATTACGCTTTTGGGTAAATGACGTTATGCCGACAAGTGACAGGTGCTGTCACTTGCTGCATAGTGATGGTTTTTGAGTATTCTTGTACTCTATAATGTTATTGTTGTTTAAAATGAGGACAAAGCTCATCAAAGAGGCAGATACTGACGATGCTTATACAGAGGTGAACTAACAGGGACAATAATTTAATTTAAATCTGAGCCATTGTTGCGTTGTACTATGTGAACTGACTGAAAGGCAAGACTATTTTATTTCGAATAAGAAACTATTGTTTCACATTAGTAGTTCCAGGATCTTCAGTTTCTATTATTTTGTTTCAGGTCTGATAGATATCCTTCAGTAAGACCCAGACACCTGGCACTGACATCTGTCCTGAACAATCTTTAAAAATCAGCACAAAACACAGGTCTGAACTGTCTGAACTGCACACACATCTCAGGGGAAGAGTCCACCTTTACTGCCAAGTGAATAAAGATAATTCCACAGCGATCAGAATGTTTTTATTCAAAGTGGTTTACCAGCTGTAAGGTGAGA